GGCCTAGAGATCACAACACTTGCATCGTTTGTGTCCATTTCTGCGTTTGCTTTCGACGAGAATGTCACAACTTGTGGATTACTAAGTGGTAGTTCCTTGTCCATGTCTGAAAACGAATCAGATGGTTCGTCTTTGCTTTTACCCCACAAAACCGAATAGAGTCCAAGAACTATCACTATTGCTCCAAGAATCCTACAAAATATTATTTAGATAGTTTGATTAATAATATTTTATAAAACTTATTATTAACCATTTTTAAGAGCTTCAAAAGTTTACGTACCTCCCAAGGTACATAACTTCCGAAAGAATTATAGAACCCAAGATGGCAACAATGACCATGCTCAATGGATTAAAGGCAGTCACAAACACCGGTCCTCGGGTTTTCATTATTACTCCTTGAACGTAATAACCAATCCCTGAGCATATCACTCCCTGCATCAAATCAAAGTAATTAATATCATTTAATTTGATTTGTTATAACCGGAAATCGGAATCAAAACCCTAATTCTATAGTTAGTATAATTTAGCTTACACCATAAATAGCAGCTAGTAATTTGGAATCCATTTGGATGGCCCAAGCAGAAGGATTTCCTCTTTCAATGAAAAGTGCCACAATGGTGCTTTCAATAGACCCCATAAAGCATATGTAAGCTGTCAATGATAGCTCTACTGGGTAAGACTTAAGCGTGATCGCCTGCACAACCCAATCATTTAAGGATGTTATAATTAGTACTATATAACCGGCCTATAATATATTGCATGATATGGAAATATTGGTCTTGAAAGTTACTTGGAGATTGACAAAACCGGCCCAACAGATGCAACCGATAGCAATGAGAAGTGCGCCTTTTGTAAGATCTGGCTTGACTCCGGGATGGATTGAGTCTTGATGAGTCTCGTTAGGATTAGCCCAAGGCAAAGGAATCAAGGGTCCTTTCACAACAGTCATAAGCATTGCTCCACCAACTGTCACAATTGTCCCTAGAATCTTGGCTTGGCTGTGTATTTTCCGGATGTTAACCTTCTCAAGTCTACACATCAAATAAAATTAATGATTCGATCGTTAGACAAAAATAAAAGAAAAAACAAATCGGACCAAAACCTAAGCCGCATCAAACGAAACACAACTAAGTGTTTTTATATACCTGAAGATCCATGCCATAAGAAAGGCAAAGGCAGGAAGAACATTGGTCATTGCAGCTGTGAAAGTTGCGGACGTGTACTTCATACCGGTGTAGTATAAGTTCTGATCAAGTGTTGGTCTAACCATATAAACACGAATTAAATTTAGCACTAGTGCTCAAATCAAACATAAGAAATACATATAAATGTTAAGAGTTAAACTGAAATGGCATAAATTAAACTTACTCCAATAAACCAAGCACTAATATCCTGAAGAAGATGGGCAGCGTCATCTTTGGCCGCACTTTTCTGCTCATTCGAAAAACATATTAATGTAAATCAATCACAAAGCATATATTTAACTTTCTAAGTCAAGAATATACGTAAATACAACAAGTACTACACACTACAATTACGTATTCAAGTGAAGCCTCGCATGCATGCATGACCATATAACATGATTTTATGTACGCAAAATGAAAATACAATACCTATCCAAGAAAATGGCAAATGGAGCAATGAAAAGAGTAGCAACGATATGACGATACGAAGCTAGAACGTGAGGGCTCATGCCTCGGTCCAGAGCAAATTTGGCTATAATAGATAGTCCAGCATATCCGAATTGTAGAGAAATAACAGTTAGGAATGGCTTCCATGTTTCTAAAGCCATATCTTTATAAGTACTTTGGTACAAAGTGAGTAATAGCAAATGTGATGTAAGAAAGAGCTGATGGAGAAATGTGGGAGGGGATGAGGTTGGTTTTATAGGAGAGGGTTTTTAGGGTTTCATATTATTTTCCATGGAATTTAAAAAATGAAAATATGACTTTTGGGTTGGGAGGAATTCTAGGGATTCCACTAAGTAATGCAAGTCTAATAGTGAGAGTATATATGCCATTCTTACTACATAGAATATATAAGATATTATCCTTGATTTATAATAGGCACATACATAATTATATAAGTAACTGGTGGTCGTGATGATGATGGAAACATCAACTACAATATATTGTTAATTATAAAAATTCATCGAAACTCCGATTTGTTCTTTTTAACCAAGAAAACTGAGTACTTCTCACCGGATTCAATCCTTACAAATACCATTGGAGATTCCATAGATTTCACATGTCCTCTTTATACATAAAGGAGCATTGCTAATTGAGTAATTAATCGTTATCTGATTACATCAAAGAAGGATCAAAAAGTATTCACCGGCCCGCTCTATTATCCCAAATTCGCATGTCATTTTTAATTTATCGAAATATCTTCTGAAGTTTGGTTTTCGTATTTTAGGAAAACTAGCTTTTCAAACCTTTTTACAAAAGTTACATAACATAAAGATATTTTGATACAACAATAACAAATAGAAATATTGATAAATTACTGGTCACTGTATATTTGTTGTCATGTTGTGTAATGTTTTTATATTATTCCTACCAAAAGAAATGATAAGGATATATATACACAGAAAGATATTAGAATTCATCAAAAAGGGGTAGCAATCGAATATGATATTTAGCCAACAAATGAGGATAATGAGATTCAATTTAGAAACATAAGTGGATACGTGCCGAATTCGTATTTGTAGTTCATGAAAATAAGATAAGAAGAGATCAAATAGATAAAACGAATAATTGAACCCACCGAATTAGATATAACTTCAATCAAGCTGGAAAAACAATTAGAATATGTGAATGCATGTCCACATAACACATTAATAAATGGAAATACGCATAATGAATCCGAATCAGATCATATGTGGATGAAAGAAAACAAAACAACTTTTGGCCAACGTCGTGGTTGAGGATTTTTGGCACTTTATGATTCTCTCCACCTGGAACCTATATATCTTACATATAAAAATAAGGGTAATATTTTTTTAAAAATAGTAAATGGAATATATACATATATCTGACGAATCCCACAGAGTATAATTCCCGACAGCCTAATTGCGTATCGATCGTATGCATGTTATGTGGCGAACTGTTTCCTGACGTTATATATTCCCATCTTCAGTATAATTTGTCAGAAGTTTTTGTTTCTACTTTCAGATAATCAAAATTTATAAGTCGTACGTTTTATTTTTTACTTTAATCTATCTGTTCAAAAATATGTGATATGTAATGTTAAAGATGATGGTTAGTGAAATTCAAATCCAAATAAGTGTTAATACATTATGTACAAGTTGAAAAAAGTTTCTCTAATTGTGATATATCATGCGTGTATACGTATATATCATGAACTTTTTTTTATAAAGATATATATCAATGAACTTACACACAAAAATGTTTGAAGATAGAGTAATTATGTTGTTCTCCCCCACCACATTGGACAAATATGGCAAATGAGTTGGCATCGAATTAGCTTAGCATAATTTTTGAAGTAGCGGATGCATTACACTGATTTGATAGTTGATTGGTAAGAAATATCACATTCTATTACTTTTTTTGGTTCTTTACGATTGTTATTCGATATATATCTTTTTTATTTAACAACTTTCGATATTTATCTAAAAGAAGTAAATATAAGAGAACAACAACCAAATTAAATATATATATATATCAGATTTATCAGTGAAAAGAATACAAGTGTACAACTTTCAGAGCCAAATATTCGATAACTTATAAATATATTAAAAACTCAAAGAACCAATTTATGATGCTGGTTGATGAAATTTCACCATAAATTAAATTAGGTTTTGAGTCATTCCACTAGATTTCAACTTTATGGTTGGTTACTGTCAATGTATTAAATGGAGGGATAATCTGAAATTTCTCTGTTATAGATATAAAAGGTCTATATATAATTAAACTCAAAGAATCCTAACCTAAAATACTCTGGATAAAACTAACAAAATAATAATTATCAAAAACCGATGCTTCCTAAATTTCTTAATATTTTGTAACACGGAAACGCGTCTCTATGAGTTGTATTCCTAGTAACATCCAGTTGCATGAAACCATGCCAAAGAGCCTTCTCTGACTCGATTTTTATTTTTTTACGTAAAGTCCACTACTCAACCGCGAGAAAAGTATTAATCCAAGACCCACGTCAGCAACTGGATGTTTATATCCGCACGAGCATACAATATAGTTTTTGTTTGTACATTTTACAGCTCGAAGACACCATGTTTAAACCAGAAAAACTTCAGGAAACATATGAAATATAGGTATCTCTTAAAACCAAAAATAATGATATAATAAGTATCTCCGCTAAAAAAGTGATTTAGCGGCATCAAATTTATTCATTATGACATCACCAACTGTGCAAAGAATCATTAATTTTGATGTCAAATTTCTCATGTGACAACTGACAATTAATCATAGGAATATCATCTAGAATATTTTCTTAATTAAACAGCATTCGAGGCTATGAAACCAAAGAAGCAAAAGGAAAGTATGACTTCCATTATCTAAGAAAGGTTTATATCCTAGAGAGTGAAATTCAAAAGTAAAGATTTAATATAATGCAAAAGAAAAGGTATCAAGATGCTCAGATATGTGTGTTGGTGTGCTCTTTGTCATTATTAGTTATATCACTTATTTCTCTTATAAAGTTTAACTATATGACTCCTTGCTCCACTTAAACACAATATAATCTGAGAGTGATTCGAGATATGTTCCGATGGGTTTCGAATTTTTCGGTCATTCAGAGATTTGATCATGAATATGGTTAATTACATACAAATATCTCTAGATTTATATTTTTATGTCTTGAAGTTGAACTACATTAACGCAACACAAAATGAGCTTTCAGAACAAATACAAATACAATTTCAGAGTGTTTAGAGGATTACACCAACACATAACATTGCGACAAAGCTATATGATCAAATCATAGTGGAGAGGATCGGATGATAAGTTGAATAATAATGAGTCTTAACTAAATTGGCGTTTGGCCATGGCGTGTGATGAGAAAACAGATAAAACGGCGAGACAGAGAAAAGCAAACAAAAGCATACTGGCCGATGCGTATCCTCTGCTGAAGAACTTATCCACAGGTTCAGTTGAATCCAATGCGACTAATGCTAGAAATGCATCTTTCAAATCTTTGCTCACACCAAATCCAGCCGCCGAACCAGTTGCAGCTACATATGATATTATCTGTCCGTTTCAAAATATTTTTATAGTTAAAGAAAATACATTTTCAGTCAAAGCTTAGTTGTTTAAGAAAATCAATTGGTACGTTCAAAGAAAAAAAATATATATATATATCCACCATTTGGTTATAAATAAATGATATACCTTGTCACCGTAAAAATCAAGTTGATAGTTAATAGGGTTTTTTATTCCGGTGGCTAGTTCTGAGATTGTGAAGAATATTTGTACGACGGCATAAAGTAGTCCGATGACGGCAGCTGAAAGCATGTATCTTCAAGAATAAAAACAAAAAGTTTATTAAGCAAACCCAAAAAAGTAAAATAAATTCACAGTAAAGAATTGTTACAAGATGCTGATAAAGCTTAAAGCCTTCAACCAAATTACATTGGTTTTGTACTTTTGTGACATGTTTTCCCTCAACCAAACAAAACTCGAATATTATTATCCAAAAAGGAGTAATGAAACGAAATTGTTCTGAGGTTCGTTGGATTTACCTATAGGCATAGACATCTTTGAAATGAAATTTCAATGCGTTTCCATCTGATTCAATGGTGACGCTATTGGTGCTAAGGATGATGACTGTTATAACAAGGAATGCGCCGGTTAAAACCCTAAGTAAAAGGAGCACTACCTTCAATGAAACCGGTGGCGGCGACGGAGGTGGTGGTGCCATAGACGTAGACCGTAGTTAGCTATTAATTAAGGGTATTCAGTGATCTTTTGAAAACGAGTAATCAAAGAGTACGAAGAAGATCAAAGCCTGAGGTATAAGAATACAAGACATGAAATGTCAGTTTTATAACCAAAAGAGATAGGAGTTGACTTTTGCTACATGGGATAAGACCACTTAATTGAAGTCAATGTCAAACAAAAAAAGTTACGAGAATATTATCAAGTATACAAAAATTGTATTATATTGATCAGTAGTGCTGAAACTCGATCACCACGTCTAGCTTACTAAATGAATTGGGATACATATTTTTACAGAATTTAGTAAGGTAAACTCATTCCAACTTTTAACAAAGTTCAAACTAAGGTAAAAATATTATAAAAAGACACTTGTGAGAATAGGCTCTTACGGGTTCGAATATAGCTATTTGGTGGGAATCTATAATCTGTTGTATGTTAATTGACAGTTTATAATATATAGTTTTCATGGAAATACACCGTAACAACAATCCAAGGATCTTCCAATCCTTAGACTTCATAGATAGTATAAGTTCAAATTTGATTGACATCTAGCGGCGAAAATTCAAAAGCGTGTATCTTTTTGCTAGGTGCAGTGAATATATTTTATATTAAAAACAGTAAATCCTGATAAATTTATTTATATTTTTGAAGAAAAAACAAGAAGAGTTGACTATAACAAAATATGTGCAATCATTCTTCTGGTTGATATGAAATCCGGGAAGGGCTTCTTGTTGTGCTCCAATTTCGTGGTCAACGTTCACATTCATTCATTCATTTAGATGACGAAATGAGAAATTGCACACGCAAGCTTTGTTCAACGTTGACCTTGTTACTTAACTTCTTCCGAACATTTTGCCTTACGAGTTACGGCCATTCACTGTCTTCACGCTTTCTTTCTTCAAGAAAAATCGCATAAGAAGATTTCGTCCATTTCTTCTATTGTAATTTGAGTTTATTCAAAAAATAATATACTACTAGATATATTCTCTTTTCTAAACTTTTTTATATATAATGGAACGTTCTTGATAATAGTTTTGGTTACGCCATTTTTATACATTGAGGTTTGTTTAACAGTAATGGAACGTTCTTGATAATATTTCCTTCCAAGACCATGATCTTGTTTGATGTAGCCGTAACCTGGACTTTTATTACTTCCGATAGACGATTACTGGTAGAGCTAACAAGTTGATCAATGATCACATATCAACTTGAAATCTGGTAAATACTCAGCCAAAGTTTTACCACCATCTTTTGAAAACATAAACAAACTAACTACACAATAAATCATATTCACCATGGCTCGTTAAGTATATGATTTTGTTACCATGAGCCAAACATCATTGTTTTTCCATTTTATAATGCCATCGATCTAAATTAACGTTATTAAATTGGTAAAATTTTGTTTTTCGGATAGACGGAGACAAGGTAAACGATATTGACAACGACTTTGCTCTCAAGAACTTGTGTTCCTCTTAAGTTAAAGAATAAAAGCTTTGGACTCGGTTTCGGTGAAAGAAATTTGTCATTTTACCAATTGAGCTTGGAATCTCTTTTTCAGTGTCGATAAAGTGTGCAAGAGAGGAATGTACATGTACGTATGTATACAACTGTTAAAGAATTACAAAGAAACAGCACCAAAAGCCATGATTAGAAACCAGCAGTTTCCACTCAGTACATGAGATTTACAGAAACCGAATTGTAAACAATAGAACGATTCATGATGGTTACATTACCTTAATTTGTGTTACGCAGATAATTGTTCTTCTTATGATATTCCTCAAACGTTAAGCTAAGCTGAGAAACCCAAACATAAATACATGTATAAGTTTAACCCACACTAATTCATACGCTACTTGTGATTATAATAAGTTCATACATTACCTCCTTGACTTGGTTTCTTAGGTTCTCGACTTGTAATCGTTTCTCAGACCTGAAGCTGTGGACATTTTGCATAAACTCATTCATCTCTGAATATTTCACAGTGTAATACTTGTCCCTTTCTTGGTCTAACTCTCTCAGCTCATCCACCTCGCTCTTTAGCGTCCTGATCGATTTTCAGCACAAAATCGAATCAATTGAACCGATCAAGCAACAAGCAAGCAACCAAAGCAAATTGAGAATAAACCGACCTCAATTGCTGTGTAGAGCACTGGTATTTGGAATCGAGATCTTCGATGGTGGATCTGAGAATCGCGATTTTGAGGTTTTGCGCAGCGATTTTCTGGTCCAGCAACAGACATTTGGCTTGTATGGACTGTACATTTGCGTGCTTGGACGCTAAAATCTGCGATTTGTTCACTTGCGCCTCTTTCTCCGCCTATCAAGCCCAGAAATTTCAAAATTATTGTAATCGAGAATTGAAAGCTTCTTCTCTGGTTTCCGGTTTAACGGAACCATGTTTGGGGAAAATATAGAAAATTCCGATTGATTTCACAGAGAGAATTACATAGATCTGTTTGATTATTGGCTGGGAAACTTGAATTTCAGCTCAAATGATTCATCAACGAGAGATGTCTCGATTAACACGGATATGCAGCAATTCTCGCGAGACAGTGAAACTGGATGATTTTAAAGAGAATTTAGGATGGATTGTTGGCTACCTGGAGAAGATGGAGTCGTTGGTTTCTGGTGGACTCCATTTGATCTAGTCTCTCCTTGAAAGCTGCAGAAAGCGCCATTGCTGATTGCTTCAGACTTGAGAGAGAAAGCGAGAGAGAGAGAGCGAGAGAGAGAGAGAGAGAGAGAGAGAGAGAGAGAATTTGAATTTTGGATGTTGGAACCGAATGAATAAGGAACTGTGGACAATGAAAACTCTTCATTTATTTACTCTTATTAACCATGAAAAGTGTTGCACTCGTTTTATTTTAATTTTCTTTGTAATAAAATTTGGGAATTTTTCGATCTTGTGGACCAGAAGCGGATTCAGGTGATTCTGAGAGCATTGCATCAACTTCGTTTCTACTTTATGTTGCCATCATATGATGATGATGCAATTCATCACTAAAACCTTGTAGTAGTTGAAAATGTGAAGAGCCATATAAGAAATCATAACTTGTGTCAAAAGTCACTCATACTACTTGTTTTCCTCTCCACGCATCAGGTACAAAACCATGGGGTCAATAGATAATCTTTAACTTACCAGCAGACGAATGAAACCAACTTACTTAAAATAGCATAATAAGAGAGTATGTTCGTGACATGTTCATTTCTTGAAAAGCACAATCTCCTCAACTCCGGTCTCAGTGTCACAAGTGACATATCCAAAGCGTGTTTCATCACCATCTTTGACGCGTCGGATGTCCTCGCGACGAATCCCATTATCCTTCATCACTTGTGCCAACATGTCTCCTAGCTTGTCTTTTGGAATCTTGATGGCATCATCTGCTACACAGTCAACTTCGTCTTTAGGAGGAGTTAAGGGCACTTCTTCAAAATAAAAATCAACATCCTCCACCAGCATAACCAGTTCATGAACAACAAATCGTTTGTTAGCAAATTCAAAGAGTAGGCCATAAAAGCCACTCACCTTTTCAGGCATAAACCATTCTTGAGACACAGACCCAGAAGATCCATCCACAGTTTGTTGTTTCTTCTTTTTCTGTTTCAACTTCCAAAGATCTAGTTGCCTACTAGACATTTTACCTATTCGAGATGGGTGCGAAAGAAACAGAATTAGCAAATCATGGACCCCAAAAGAACACAAACTAGTTCCAATGACCCAATAGTGGAGCAAATTCACTCAAAAAGATTTTAAGACTCTAAAAACAGCAATTCAGGTCTTTAGCAACAGTTAGTTACGAATTAGGTTTTATACTCCAAGCTTATCCTCCCCACTTTTTTTCACCTTTCCATGAAGCACCAAGCAGAGAGAAACAACAACTAAAATTCAATTTTCCAAAACTAGAGGATATAGCAAAGCAGTAGCTAAACGGGACTGAATAAAAACCAAAACTCTAGCTGACTGAGACAGATATAGACGCAGCTAGCTTTTACCAGAGACGATGTAATTAGCAAAGAGCGGCAGATTTGGAGCCCTGTGTGTGCTAGTCTGCGCTATATAGAGGAGGCCCAAGATAATTAGGTTTTAATTCTACTTATTATTTGGCAGGATTTTCTTTTGTAATTTTGAGTTTATAAAAAAATGTAATATATTACTAGACATTCTCTTTTCTAAACTTATTAAATTTAGTGGAAAGTTCTTGATCTTTGGTTAGCCATTTTTATACATTGAGGTTAGTATAACAGTAGTAGAAAACTCGTATTCTCTTCCAAGACCTTGGTCTTTGATGTAACGTGACCTAAACTGTTTAGTTCCGATAGATGTTTATCAGTAGAGCTGATAAGTTTATCACATACTACCATGGAATCCTGAAAATACTCAGCCAAAGTTTTACTACCATCTTTTGGAAACTTGTGTAAAACTAATTGTACAACAAATCGTATTCACAAACCTTGTTCAATAAAATAAAATAAATCATTCGCGATGACTTGCGATTTTGAGGTTTTGCGCAGCGATTTTCTGGTCCAGCAACAAGCATTTGCCTTGTATGGACTGTACATTTGCGTGCTTGGATGCTAAAATCTGCGATTTGTTCACTTGCGCCTCTTTCCCCGCCTATCAAGCCCAGAATTTTCAAAACATTGAAATCGAGAATTGAAAGCTTCTCTGGTTTCCGGCTTAACGGAATCATGTTTGGGGAAAATACTAAAATTCCGACTGAATTTCACACAGAGAATTACATAGATCTGTTTGTTTATCAACGAGAGGTGTCTCGATTAAGACTGATATGCAGCAATTCTCGCGAGACAGTGAAACTGGATATGATTCAAAGAGAATTTAGGATGGATTGTTGGTTACCTGGAGAAGGTGGAGTCGTTGGTTTCTGGTGAACTCCATTTGATCTAGCCTCTCCTTGAAAGCTGCAGAAAGCGCCATTGCTGATTGTGCTTGAGACTTGAGAGAGAAAGCGATTGAGAGAGAGCGAATTTGAATTTTGGAGGTTGGAAATGAATGAAATCTTCACCTTTATTTACGCTTAAGCATGAAAAGTGTTGCAGTCTTTATTTATTTATTTTGTAGTAATCATTATGATTTTGATGCTTTTCAGGTGATTCTGAGAAGTTGATCAGAGTTCTGTTCGATTTAGCTAAGCATCACGCAATTTATGCGTATATTTCCTTCGATTTAGCTAAGCATCACGTTTTACTAAACATCTACAAAATTTTAGTTGAGACAAAATATTGAACATCAAAAAGCACCAACCAAATTGAAGATGATCATCACTAAAACCTGGTCGTTGAAAATGTGAACAGCCAAATAAGAAGTCATAACTTAGTCAAAGTCACTCATAGCATAAGGTCTTTAATTTAATACATGTCTAGATCATCTTAACTTACTAGCACAACACAACATGAAACAAACTTAATAGCATAATAAATGTAGGTTTGTGGCATCTTCATTTCTTGAAGAGCACAACCTGCTCAGCTCCGGTCTCAGTGTCACGAGTGACATAGCCAAAATGTGTTTCACCATCTTTCTGGCGTCCTATGTCATGGCTACCAACCCCATCATCCAACGCCATTTGTGTCATCATGTCTCCTAACTTGTCTTCTGGCATGTGGCAGACACCATATGCATCTGCAAATTCCCTCCTACCAGCAGGTACAACGACACTCTTATCTCTATAGTTCCAGGTGAGCTTCGGAGTGTCATCTCTAGGAGGTGTTGACTGCAATTCATCCACATCCTCAACATCCTGCACTCACATAACCATTTCATAAATGACAAATCATTTGCAGAATCAAAGAGTTACTTGCTATGGAAACCATAAAAGTCACTCACCTTTTCAGGCATTGACCATTCTCGAGACAGAGACCCAGAAGATCTAGTTGCCTAGACGACATTTTCCCTATTCAAGGAACAAGAGGAATTTACCATTAGTTAGATCAAATAAAGCGAAAAATTTCATAATAAATCTGATTGCATAGAAGCAGATATAAAGCTACAACACCTACAAAAATTGGTAGGTCCATCCCGACCAACTTACTAGCACAACATAACTTGAGTCAAAATCAGACATAACATAATGTCTTTAACTTAATATATAACATAATGTTGAGCAAATTCACATTCACTCAACTAAGAACTCAAAATATTTTAAGAATCTAAAAACAGCAATTCACACAAAAAGGTCTATAACTTTTGTGCATTTCAAATTTCACGAAGAGACTCACACTCAAATTACTCAATTTGGGCAAAGTTCGTGCAAATCTGATGAATTTGTATGCTAAAAACAATTTTAACTTTTAATGAGTGTTGTTTTACTCAGTTTACTTTTTGTCTTTTTTCATTTTTAGGACATAAAAACATGAAAATGCAAAATTTATGTATATATGGTCTATAATATCTAAATGAATGTGTTGGTTTTCACTTAAGAACATAATTTTATTGACAAACACACGTAGAAGCTATTCAATCGGGTATTAACAATAGAGAATCTCATATATCACTTATGCTAATAATCTGAAATAAGTAATGCTAATAATCGGATTGAGGAAGAAATGAGTTAATTTAATCCATGAATCAACAGAACGTCAACGCATTCGTCTTTCAAAGTCAAAATGTTTCAATGTATTGTTGTCTGTCCAACAGAGTCATTACTCATACGTCATATATATAGGTTTTTTAAGAGTTATATTCCCTCCGTTTCAAATTAGTTGTCGTTTTGGCAAAATGTATCTGCAAATATTTGGACGTATCTGGACGTGTTTTGCATTGCAGATACGTCCAAATATTTGCAGATACATTTTGCCAAAACGACAACTAATTTGAAACGGAGGTAGTACCATTTTGTATACATTTTAAGTTTCTAAAAAAAGGTCTATTCGGAAAAACAACGTGCCGTTCCACGTTTACAGGACGTGACACCGTGTTGTTTTCACTTTCATCAACCATAGATCCAAAAGGTCAGTTTCTTCCTCTAATGCAAAAGGCTAAGTACAAGTGAGTTTCGAGATTCGTTGACCGATCTATCTAACACACAGAGAGAAAGAAGCGATGCCAGAGACCGCCGTGTACGGAGGAGCAATCAATTCGGAGATCGAAGACGAAGATTACGAAGATGATGGAGAAGAAGAAGAAGAGAACTCGTCTCCGGAGCTGACGGCTCAATCATCTCCGCGGCCTCCGTTCTCGACGAATTTCGAAAAAGATCGACACTTGATCTATCTGAAGATGATGTACGAGCTGCTTCCGCACCATTATCAATCTCAGGAGATCAATCGAGTCACTCTCGCTCACTTCATAATCTCGGGCCTCCACTTTCTCGGCGCAACAGACCGTGTTCGTCTCTCTAACTCTCTGTTTTAGTTATGTTCAAGTATCAATCTTTTTCAAATTGTGTAACTTTCATCTATTGATTTTGTTGATGAAGGTTGAGAAAGATGTCGTTGCAAACTGGGTTTTGTCCTTCCAGGCCTTGCCTAGTAGCAGAGTTTCACTGAAAAAAGGTAGCTTTCTTGAAATTAAGACTTTATCTACAATGCGCGCTTGAATTTATCGCCATGAGAGCTTCTTGTCTTGCTGCAGGAGAATTCTATGGTTTCTTCGGCTCAAGAAGTTCTCAGTTTCCTTTAGATAAGAATGGGGTAAGTGATAAGTCTAGACGAAGCTTTTACTTTGATTATCTTTGTTTTGGGGCTTTACATTTAGTCTTTTGACGCAGGATCTAACTCACAACAATAGTCACCTAGCAAGCACTTACTGTGCATTGGCCATTTTGAAGGTCATTGGGCATGATCTCTCGACCGTTGACTCTGAATCACTATCGTTGTCCTTGAAAAACCTTCAACAGGATGATGGAAGGTATTAGCTTTTGGAGCTAAAAGAAATTTGCTTAGCTTTAAGCCTTTTGGGGTAGATAACTTTCCTTATTTGCATCTGAGAAAAACTCTGCGATTTACTTTGTGTTGCTACAGCTTCATGCCTATCCATACTGGAGGCGAGACGGATCTTCGGTTTGTATATTGTGCTGGTAAGGAATAGCTACTTAATAGGATTTTCAGACCATGTCTTTATACGTTTAGTAGAGTCAAAGTCTAGTTTTTTTCATTTGTGGATCAGCTGCAATCTGTGACATGCTTGGTAATTGGAGTGGAATGGATAAGGAGAAGGCTAAGAATTACATATTAAACTGTCAGGTCTATTTATCTTCTTGTCTTCTGCTTTGTCTTTTTTCTTCCTTGAAGTTAAACCTTTTTTTGTTGTCAATTACTGTGTTAAGAAAGACGTTCTTGTTCAACATTCTTTGTGCAGTCATATGATGGTGGCTTTGGTTTGATCCCTGGTTCTGAATCACACGGTGAGTTGAACACAATTCCTCTATAATCTTTAAATTCATTTTGTCCATGTGCAGTAAAAGTAAGTAACACATCCTTTATGTGAATCGAGTAGAAATTGTTACTGAATTGGTCACTGAGGACACACTAATTAGTCATTGGACTGAACTTCACTGGCTATGCCTATACAGGAAGACAAAAATCTGCTAAACTTTTATTTGACTGCACTCGTTTTATGATGCTTACCTATGTTCTGAAACTTAGTTATGCAGGTGGTGGCACTTACTGTGCTATTGCATCCCTTCGATTGATGGGATTCATTGGAAGTGATCTACTATCAAATGCTTCATCAAGTTCGATAATAGATGCTTCATTGCTTCTCAACTGGAGTCTACAGGTACAGCTTCATAATTTCTGTTTGTCTTCCTGATAATGCTCCTGAGTGAACTGTGGTTTTTTCTTTCCTTGCCCTTAGAGACAAGCCAGTGATGGTGGATTTCAAGGACGGACTAACAAACGGAGCGACACATGCTATGCATTTTGGTAAGTCTCCTCATCTTTTTTGCTGTCAATGGATCTGCTTCTTCCCATCCGCTGATTCAGGCCTTGCACCACATGTGTGTAGGATTGGAGCTGTTCTTAAACTCATAGGAGGCGATGCATTCATTGACAAAACTGCTCTGCGCCAATTCTTACTTACTTGTCAGTCCAAGGTACATCTTAACTTCTAAGAGCTGTAAAGCAAGTCGGTAGATAAGTAAAAAAACTGCAGCGAAGCTTAAGAGTAATATAATACTAATAGCATAGATAGAGCCAATAAATCTAAATCCATATTGTTTTCATTGAATCATGATTGATTAGTGGTGGTGATAACAATGTGATTAATGTCGTTTTGTTCATGCATTTTCGTGTCCAGTATGGTGGATTCAGTAAATTTCCTGGAGAATTACCGGATCTGTATCATTCTTACTACGGTTACACGGCTTTTAGTCTCTTGGAGGAACCGGAGCTGAGTCCTCTGTGTCCTGAGCTAGGGTTACCACTTCTTGCAGCTTCAGGAATCTGATGTTTAGGCTGCATTTTTTTCATCTCCAATGTAACATTATTTCAGCAGTTAGTTTCCTGTTAGAATATTCGTTGATTATTGGCTCTCGATGTGCTAAAATCCACAAAATGAAACAGCGTAGGTTCTTAAACTAAAGAAAAACCATATTTTCAAGTGTTGAATATGATGTGTTTTCATTTTTCATCGTTAATAACTTAATATGTGAAATTGTGTGATTAGTAAAACGTGTTCGTTAAAGAAACAAAAGACTACGATAGAAGTAATTTTGCAATATCACGGAGTGTTGTTGTCGTTGACGCCACCACTTTAGTGGATACAAAGTATCAGACATAAACTGGAGATTGGGACAAAATCCTGAAAGGGGAAAGAGATTCCCCACTTGAGTCTTGTCTTTATTCACTTATCGTATTATTCCAATTTATCGGTCGACTCAAAGTTTTCATTGCTGTTAAAAGAAAATTATTCTTACTGTAGCGTTTGATCTCAATTAGATACTAATTCTTTAGCTTTTGCCTTCACGTGCTCTGGTTTCACCTCTTAAACCCCATTTTTCGACAAGTTATAAAAATCCGTTGCAGAATTAATTTAAAGTAAAATGTCGGTGTTAGTATTAGTCTATTAGAGTGATGAATTCGTGCATCCTTTAAATGTCAACCACAACAGTGTGGTAAATTATGAGTTTAAAGACGAATCCAATGCCCCTCTTTATTCTTTATCTAAAAAGCATGATTTGATTGAAAATTCACAAACTTGGCTTAACAAATTCTTTTATCCACCCAAAATTTACAACCGGTTTAATCCGACGACGAGCCAAATAGCATTCAGACCAAAAATGCTGCCAAAACGCTAAACTAGATTTACAGAAACAATTAAAATCCAAAGGAAAAGATTAGCAAAATCAAAACTTTTGCTAAAAATTTGGCAACTTAAGACAATTTTTGGACCACCTTTTGTCATATTCCTGATGAAACTTCATCTTCAAAACTCTGTTTTTAAGACTTTGTTTTACCAATTTAGCCCTTGAGGTCCTCGGCTTCTGCAATCTCCATCACTTTCCTCTTGTAAAGCTTCTCCTCTGCGTCTCTCAAGAACTTGAATCCCGGTAACGGCGATGACGACGAGGATGATGTTGGTGAATGTGATGATGACAATGGAGATGATCTCACCAGTCTGTTAAACTCAGCATCAGTCGATGACTCGAAGAAACTGGAGATCCCTTCTCTTCTGCCATTACAAGACTCCATTATTGGAGTGAAAGGAGGAGTGAACAATGAAGGAGAAGCACGAGGAGTGAGATACGGAGGAGTGGAACCACTTTCCATATTAAGAAACAAATCATTCAAGCTCTTTCCTTTTGTGGAAACCCCATCTTCACACTCCATTTCCTCCACTGTTTCCTCCATGATCGTGAACAGAAACCTCGGCACGAGCCCTGGACCCACATTCCCAAATCCAACATCATAGCCATCAGGAGGAGGACATTGTTGTTGTTGTTGTTGAGTTTCGATATGTTTAGGACTTGAGAAGGAGGAAGAAGGGTTTGTGCTGCTGCAACAGAAGATGAAGAGAAGCTCTCTGGTGTGAGGGGTAGAATAGTCATCTCGCAGATTAGGTGTAGTCGTCGTCCTCTTCTTGCACCAGAGCAAGTAATAGAGCTCAGCGAGAAGAGCTAATAGCAAACAACCAAAGACAATGCTTAGAGCAAGTCCCACACTGCTTAAGGATCTCATCTTTCTTCTTCTTGGTAAGATTTCATCGTTCAACCTTTTTTTATCAAATGAAATGTGAAAAGAGAAAGAGAAAAACAGCTAACAGTCAAATGTGAAAATGCAGAAGGAACGGAAATTGTGAAGGTTGTTTATGATTCTGAGAAAGAAAAAGAGTTTTTGCAGAGAATAATAATAAACAAGATTTTAGTGAATAGAGAGGTTTTGATAAAATTGAGGATGAAAGAAAAGGAGATAGTGTGAAAATAAATAAATTCCAAAAAAATGAGTGTTATAAAGCGGAAGTGTGAAAGTGAAATTCCCTCACTTTTTTTTGTTTTGTTTTGTTTAGAATCAAACAAATGCTTAAAATGATTACGAAATGTTACCCTTAACGAAAGCCACCGCTGACCATTTCTTTTTTGGGAAATATGGAATCTTCTCATCTTTAATTTACTTCTACTCTCTTCAAAAAAGAAAAAATTTGCATTTATCTTCAAATAGTTTCCCTTTCAAAACATCAACTATGGATACCACTTAAAAGGCCTTAATTAAACCCATATGACGCAACGCAAATCAAGCATATGTAGATCAAACACCAGTAGCAATAAAGAAAAATTTAATGGCTAAAAAGATCAAAGATGTGAAGTAGAGTAAGATTTGTTTGTTTTGCGTTTCTTCATGCTGATTGATATTATTGGATTTGGCAAAGTCAGAGAAGAAGAGAGTCCACCAAATCTGAGTGTCAGTGATTCTGCTTTCAGTTATATAATTTCGTGATTGCATCAACAATTGTTCAGCATCTTCAATCGAACGATCAATATTCACATTTTTGTATGTGATTATTTTAGTGTCATACCACTTTTTTTTTTTTTTTTGAGAACTTAGTGTCATATCACTTGTTAATTACATAAGAGCAACAATTAAAATATAATAAATTTCTCATTTTTCATTTATCTCTTCGTAAACAGAAATTTCGGACTTAATTTTTCTCAATAGACAAAGGTTTGTTGGATTGGCCTTGTTAGGAGCCTTGGAAATGAGAGATTTTTACTTATAATAGTCCCATGACCTGAAATAGAGTTATTTTTATGGATGGATTCTTGCATGCATCATGGTGCGTTCTTCTCTCGAACGCCAACTCTTGGCCAATTCGTGTTGCCCTAGAACAGAAATTTTCCCAATTAGGAAAGCTAAATTTCAAAATATCAACAAAGTGAAAAAAAATGAAATTTACAAATTTGTGAGATGTACAATTATGCTGGCGCTCTTGATGAACATTCTGCCATTGGTAATTATTAGAGTAACGATTTTCATCGTAGAAGAATAAGCCTTCTATGAATGGCGTTAGGCCTAGGAATTGTTCTGAAACTGGAAATTCGTGAAGAGCATATCGCCGGTAGAATAGAGAACGATTTCTCATTATATCCTTATCCGCATAAGTGCATTTGGAATCGAAAATTTCTTTTTCCCATCTTTAGGTCTGGGCAGAGGGCAAGTACTCGGAGTTTTTGCTATATTTGTGACCGGCCTTGCCTTATTCATTTTTAACAAAAACCGACTTGTACATAACTCGTGAAATACAAATACCTGTTTTCACAAGTATTTGCTAAAAATTTGAATACTCGCAAGTGACCTATTTTGGCTTGTGACCCAAAAATACTCTAAAAAATATTTGTCCCGGACAAATCAAACAACCCCCAACAATGCAAGCATATAAGTTTCTTAAAGTGAAAGAAGAGATTGGTTATAGGGTTTTTTGACAATTGGGTTTAAAGAGTATAAAGATTTGGCATTTGAGTTTACATATTTTTATTAAAATGGACTTGAAGCTCTTTCTATTCTTCTCGTCTTTCTCTTGGTGATTTGTAGATATATAAATTTATAATGAAATTCTGAAAGTATGAAACTAATTTAATAACGCAGAGTATAACAAGGCAAATATCAAAAATATTAATGATATTTGTAACCCATATTGTATTTGTAGGTAATACAAAAATTCTGTCTTGTAATCCACCTTGTTATGAACAAGTACTCCTATACAAGGCAAGAAGCAAGATACAACTATACAAGGCAAGAAGCAAGATATATCTTGCGGTAACCAATTACATGTGCCCAGAGACCTACTCATCGAAAAGCTTTTTTTTTTTTTTCATTTCAGATTTGCGCCGAAATATATACAACATAGTGTTGGAACCAAATTTAAAGTCCTCATGGGCTGAATAAATTGTGGACAAATGTGAAAAGAAATGGGCTTAGGCTCATGTAAAATGAATGAGAAATTTGAGTGAGTTAAATGAAGGAGTACTTGATTTTGTCCCACATTGGAAAGAAGGAACTTTTTCCTCTTGTTTAAATATAGACATTTCCATACAATGTTCAATAGCATTTAGTGGGAGACTATGGACCTTGAGAGAAAGGGGGCCATTATGCAAAAAAAAACCACACGCGCGCGCGCCGCCGCCGTGCCGGCCGGGCCGGGCTCGGGTCTTGGGTCTTGGTGAATGTGGGCTTCGCCCACAAATTCCTATCAAGGTTTTTGCTAAAGCCCTACCCGAAATTGCATAATGTGTAGAATAAATCTTCCAGAAGATTGAGTTCGTTTTTCGGTTTCCTTGATAAACTCGAAAAGATATTCGGAATATTTCCGTATCCCTTTCGATAAACATAAAGGAGAATATCTTGCGGATATTCCTTCCTTGCCGACCAAGTCTTCTCACAGCTATAAATAAAGGGCCTCACCCCTCTCATTATTGATTCACTCGAATATCAAAACACTCCATCAAAAATCTCTCGCATCTCTTCTCCTCTAAACGTAAGTCTCGAGAGTATAGCGTAGTTATTTAGTTCGTAGATTCTGTAGTCCGGTGTTGGGACTATAGTCTCACGTAGTTGTATCCTGGGATTCAAAAGTCTCATGCAAACCGCCACACTGCGGGAGATTTATTGAGTTAAGGAAAGAGATCAAATCTCGCCTCTGCGTAATTCGTCTATTTCCAATCGTATTTTTAATTATATATTATTTATTATATAAGATTTTATTTCGTGTTTTTCCAATCTGGATTTTCGCGGTCCTACAGTCTTAACTCAATAAATCCGATCTTCCTTATCGCCTGAATCGGATTGGAATATAGCGAAACAGTTTTTTCTTATATGATATATAAAACGGTTTGCTTATAGATCTAAAACAGTTCTGCGAAAGCTCTCTAGCTATTCAGCAGAAAGTTTCGATCTCAAAAAAGACGAATATCATTACTTGATAAAACGATTTACGCGACAGCTTTTAGCAGGATCGCGAAAACGTTTTTTCAACTTTATTATATCTGATCTCTGATCTAATATAACGTTTAAGAGCAAGTCTCTGTGAACTTAGCGAATATTTTCGCACACCCCACAATACTGACAAAATCTGTCTTTGTGATACAGATCCATAATGTCTGGTACTGCTAATGGAACCAACGGGACTGCTGGGGATCAGCCTGCGGCTAATGTCACGGGTCAACTGGCTGCACTCGCTGCACCAACTTTGCCTAGTAACATAAGCGCAGCACTTTCGCCTGACAAATTCGATGGCACGAATTTCAAGCAGTGGCAACAGAAGATGCACTTCTTCCTTACCACGCTGAACCTGGCAAAATATCTTGTTGAGACAAAGCCTGAGGTGCCTGCTACTCAAGAGGCAAACCCAGATCCACGAGTACACATGACTCTGGAGAACTGGAACCAAGGAGATTTCCTGTGCAAAGGTTACATTCAAAGTCGCCTGGTGGATCAACTGTTCAATGTGTACAGTGAGGTCAAAACATCCAAGGAGCTGTGGGAAGCCTTGGATAAGAAGTACAAGACGTTCAATGTGGGCTCAGGAAAATTTGCTGCTGCAAAATTTCTCAACTTCGTAATGGTGGACTCAAAACCCATCATGGACCAAGTGCATGACCTGCAGATGATACTCCAAGAGATATCAGATGAAGGGATGAAGATCTGTGAGACTTTCACAGTGAATTGCTTCATTGAGAAGTTACCCCCTGGATGGGCAGACTTCAAGAACTATCTTGCCTTCAAGCAAAAGGCATTGACTTTGGCCAACTTGGTTTCCAGGCTGCAGAATGAGTCACTGAAGCGTGAAAAAGCTGAACCAGTTCAGACTCATGATGCAAATGTGGCCGAATTTCGCAACAAACCTAAAGGCAGGTTTAACCCCAACAAGGGTGCACTCAACAAGGTTGCTAATCAGGCCTCCACGGGCTTTAAGAAACAGGCCCAAGCCCACCAATTCCCAAAGAAGAAATCTGGATTCTCAGGGAAGTGCAATCACTGTGGCAAGGTTGGACATCGCGGAGCCGATTGTCGCAGCAAGGCCAAGGAGAAAAACCAAGCCAACTTGACAGAGTCTGACATGGTGGCTGTTGTTACAGAAGCCAACATGGTTGAAGAGAATCCGGCACTATGGTGGTATGACACTGGTGCTACCACACACATCTGCATTGACAGACAGATGTTCAGCACATACCAGAAAAGCAAGGGAGATGATCGTCTGCTGATGGGAAATGTGTCCCACTCCAAGATTGAAGGCACTGGAAAGGTGGTCCTGAAGATGACATCTGGAAGAGAGCTCACACTCAACAATGTGAAGCATGTTCCAGACATGAGGAAGAATCTGATTTCTGGCACTCTGATGAGCAAGCATGGATTCGCCATCAACTTTGAGTCTGACCAGCTGATTCTCAGGAAACATGGTGTTTTTATAGGAAAAGGTTTTGTTAAGGATGGACTGATTAAGATGTGTGTATCTCCAGTCCAAAGAAACAATGTTGTACCTGTTTCCAATGATTTGATTAATAAGAAACCAGTTACTTATTTGGTTGAGTCTTCTAATATTTGGCATGAAAGATTAGGACATGTAAATTATAAGTCCATTGAAAGACTTATGAATTTGAACCTAATTCCGAAAAGCAAAATAAGCAAAGACAAATGTGAGATATGTGTACAAGCAAAACTCACTAAAACACCATCTCCTCATGTCGAAAGAACAACTGAACCTCTGGGACTAATACACACAGATTTGTGCGACTTGAAATATGTACAAACCAGAGGGGGCAAAAAGTATTTTGTGACTTTCATAGATGATTGTACAAGATACTGCTACGTCTACTTGCTGCGTAGCAAAGATGAAGTTTTGGAAAAATTCAAGGAGTACAAGACTGAAGTTGAAAACAACTGGGCAAAACCATTAAAATGGTTAGAAGTGATAGAGGAGGTGAGTATGATGGACCTTTCAATGCCTTCTGTCAAGAGAAAGGCATCATACATCAGACCACTGCTCCCTATTCACCAGAATCTAACGGAGTTGCAGAAAGAAAGAATCGAACTCTGAAAGAGATGATGAATGCAATGTTGCAGGAATCTGGGCTACCGCAGAATCTGTGGGGGGAAGCTCTGCTAGCCACAAACTATATCCTCAACAAAATACCACACAAAGTAACTGGCAAAACGCCATATGAGTTGTGGAAAGGTTCAGAACCTTCTTACAAATACTTGAAAGTGTGGGGGTGCTTAGCAAAAGTTCAAGTACCGCCTCCTAAGAAGGTTTCGATTGGGCCTAAAACGGTGGACTGTATTTTCATTGGATATGCGCACAACAGTAGTGCTTATCGGTTTCTGGTACACAAATCAGATATAGCCGATATCCATGCAAATACAATAATCGAATCAAGGAATGTGTCATTCTTTGAGAATATCTTTCCATGTAAAGATAGGCAGAAGCTGAAGCGAACTCATGACGCAATTGTGCCTGCGAATGAGGCTAGTACATCTGGTACTTCAGTAAATGAAGCAGAAGAAAATGAAGTTGAACCTAGGCGTAGCAAGAGAGTTCGTAAGGACAAATCATTTGGTGAAGAATACTTAGTGGTATTTCTCTGTGAGAATGAACCAAGGACATATTCTGAAGCCATGTCTACACCAGAAGCAGACTTATGGAAAGAAGCTGTAAACAGTGAAATGGATTCTATTCTGCAGAACCATACTTATATAATCACTGATTTACCTCCAGGGTTTAAAGCTTTAGGATGTAGATGGATCTTCAAAACGAAGATCAAAACTGATGGAGCTATTGATAAGTACAAGGCAAGACTTGTGGTGCAAGGATTCAGACAAGTCGAAGGTCTAGACTTCTTTGACACTTATTCTCCGGTGACGAGAATAACTTCAATCAGAATATTGATAGCTATTGCATCTCTGAGAGACCTGGAAATCCATCAGATGGATGTAAAAACAGCTTTCCTTAATGGTGATTTAGAAGAGGAAATCTATATGAAACAACCTGAAGGTTTCGTGACACCAGGTCAAGAACACAAAGTTTGTAAACTTGTGAAATCGCTGTATGGATTGAAACAAGCTCCGAAGCAATGGCATGAAAAATTTGACCATGTGATGATGTCAAATGGATTCAGTATCAATGAATGTGACAAATGCATCTACGTCAAAAACACTCCCAGCGGGTACGTTTTGCTGTGTCTGTATGTTGACGACATGCTCATCATGGGCAGTAACAAGGATATAATCCAACAAACCAAGAACATGCTTAAGGGTCAGTTTGACATGAAAGACATGGGTCTTGCGGATGTTATTCTTGGTATTAAGATCACAAGGACTTCTGAGGGTATCACCTTATCTCAGGAGCATTATGCTGAAAAAATACTTGAGCGTTTCAAGAATTATTCGAATGGAACTGCGAAAACTCCAGTGGATACACAACTGCACTTGACTAAGAACTCTGGTGAAGCAGTGTCACAAGTTGAGTATGCAAGGGTTATTGGAAGTCTGATGTACTTAACCAATTGTACCAGACCGGATTTAGCACATGCAGTGAACGTATTAAGTCGTTACACAAGCAATCCTGGTCATACACACTGGAAAGCCATAACAAGAGTGTTAAATTATGTGAGACACACTAAAAGTTATGGATTGCACTATGGTAAAGAACCTGCAGTCTTGGAAGGATACAGTGATGCAAACTGGATATCAGACTCAAAGAACTCAAAGTCCACAAGTGGATATGTCTTTACACTAGGAGGTGCAGCAATATCTTGGAAATCTTCCAAACAAACTCTACTGGCAAGATCAACAATGGAATCTGAGTTCATCGCTTTAGATAAAGCAGCAGAGGAAGCAGAGTGGCTTCGGAATTTCTTGGAAGATATTCCAATGTGGGAGAAACCAGTACCGGCACTGCGTATACATTGTGATAGCCAGTCGGCTATAGCCCGGGCACTGAATACTCTCTATAATGGCAAATCTCGTCACATCAGGAGACGACATAAAACCATTAGACACTTGATCACAACCGGTGTAATCTCGGTCGATTACATTAAATCAGCTGATAACCTAGCGGATCCGTTTACAAAAGGTTTGACAAGAGATCAAGTTTTGAAATCATCTAAGGGAATGGGTCTTTTGCCTATGACAAAAGAGGATGTTTGATGGACACCCAACCTTCGCGATTGGAGATCCCAAAAGGCTGGTTCAAAGGGACAACTAAGTCAAACAGATTCTGTTTACAGCACTGCAAGACAATATGTCTGATCCCAACTCCCAAAATGATGCACAGTGCTTCCTGTAAGTGTTTAAGGATAAGCGTTGCTTTTAATGATATGAGTAGCTTTCATATATATACGGAGTATTAACAGGATACTTTTCTTATATGACAGGAGCTCAACGAAATCACCTAGTGAGTGTGAAATGAGGCCGTTTCTAGGAGGATGAAGTCCAGGCTATATTCTCTAAGTTCACTCACGATCAACCAGGCAAAGTTCAAGGCCACAATGAACGCAATAGAGAACTAAGTTCTACGAGGAAATGAAGCTGGGTTATAGCTGTTGTCTCGGTTTACATAAACATCCGGGTGGTTCAAGACATCATGTTCACCTCCTGGCTAAGTAAACCCGACAGATATCAACAATGAGTGGTTCAAGGCTGAAATATGCCACTATCTCATACACAGTTAATTTTCGCCTATACTCTCGAAAGTCCTTCTGTCGTGTCTGTAGAGTCTGCATGTATAGTCTTTCGAGTTAGTAGAGTCTGCATATGTTTAGAGTCATTTCTCTTCATGTGGGGGATTGTTGGAACCAAATTTAAAGTCCTCATGGGCTGAATAAATTGTGGACAAATGTGAAAAGAAATGGGCTTAGGCTCATGTAAAATGAATGAGAAATTTGAGTGAGTTAAATGAAGGAGTACTTGATTTTGTCCCACATTGGAAAGAAGGAACTTTTTCCTCTTGTTTAAATATAGACATTTCCATACAATGTTCAATAGCATTTAGTGGGAGACTATGGACCTTGAGAGAAAGGGGGCCATTATGCAAAAAAAAACCACACGCGCGCGCGCCGCCGCCGCCGTGCCGTGCCGAGCCGGGCCGGGCTCGGGTCTTGGGTCTTGGTGAATGTGGGCTTCGCCCACAAAAGCCTATTCTTTTTGGGCCAAATTCCTATCAAGGTTTTTGCTAAAGCCCTACCCGAAATTGCATAATGTGTAGAATAAATCTTCCAGAAGATTGAGTTCGTTTTTCGGTTTCCTTGATAAACTCGAAAAGATATTCGGAATATTTCCGTATCCCTTTCGATAAACATAAAGGAGAATATCTTGCGGATATTCCTTCCTTGCCGACCAAGTCTTCTCACAGCTATAAATAAAGGGCCTCACCCCTCTCATTATTGATTCACTCGAATATCAAAACACTCCATCAAAAATCTCTCGCATCTCTTCTCCTCTAAACGTAAGTCTCGAGAGTATAGCGTAGTTATTTAGTTCGTAGATTCTGTAGTCCGGTGTTGGGACTATAGTCTCACGTAGTTGTATCCTGGGATTCAAAAGTCTCATGCAAACCGCCACACTGCGGGAGATTTATTGAGTTAAGGAAAGAGATCAAATCTCGCCTCTGCGTAATTCGTCTATTTCCAATCGTATTTTTAATTATATATTATTTATTATATAAGATTTTATTTCGTGTTTTCCAATCTGGATTTTCGCGGTCCTACAGTCTTAACTCAATAAATCCGATCTTCCTTATCGCCTGAATCGGATTGGAATATAGCGAAACAGTTTTTTCTTATATGATATATAAAACGGTTTGCTTATAGATCTAAAACAGTTCTGCGAAAGCTCTCTAGCTATTCAGCAGAAAGTTTCGATCTCAAAAAAGACGAATATCATTACTTGATAAAACGATTTACGCGACAGCTTTTAGCAGGATCGCGAAAACGTTTTTTCAACTTTATTATATCTGATCTCTGATCTAATATAACGTTTAAGAGCAAGTCTCTGTGAACTTAGCGAATATTTTCGCACACCCCACAATACTGACAAAATCTGTCTTTGTGATACAGATCCATAATGTCTGGTACTGCTAATGGAACCAACGGGACTGCTGGGGATCAGCCTGCGGCTAATGTCACGGGTCAACTGGCTGCACTCGCTGCACCAACTTTGCCTAGTAACATAAGCGCAGCACTTTCGCCTGACAAATTCGATGGCACGAATTTCAAGCAGTGGCAACAGAAGATGCACTTCTTCCTTACCACGCTGAACCTGGCAAAATATCTTGTTGAGACAAAGCCTGAGGTGCCTGCTACTCAAGAGGCAAACCCAGATCCACGAGTACACATGACTCTGGAGAACTGGAACCAAGGAGATTTCCTGTGCAAAGGTTACATTCAAAGTCGCCTGGTGGATCAACTGTTCAATGTGTACAGTGAGGTCAAAACATCCAAGGAGCTGTGGGAAGCCTTGGATAAGAAGTACAAGACGTTCAATGTGGGCTCAGGAAAATTTGCTGCTGCAAAATTTCTCAACTTCGTAATGGTGGACTCAAAACCCATCATGGACCAAGTGCATGACCTGCAGATGATACTCCAAGAGATATCAGATGAAGGGATGAAGATCTGTGAGACTTTCACAGTGAATTGCTTCATTGAGAAGTTACCCCCTGGATGGGCAGACTTCAAGAACTATCTTGCCTTCAAGCAAAAGGCATTGACTTTGGCCAACTTGGTTTCCAGGCTGCAGAATGAGTCACTGAAGCGTGAAAAAGCTGAACCAGTTCAGACTCATGATGCAAATGTGGCCGAATTTCGCAACAAACCTAAAGGCAGGTTTAACCCCAACAAGGGTGCACTCAACAAGGTTGCTAATCAGGCCTCCACGGGCTTTAAGAAACAGGCCCAAGCCCACCAATTCCCAAAGAAGAAATCTGGATTCTCAGGGAAGTGCAATCACTGTGGCAAGGTTGGACATCGCGGAGCCGATTGTCGCAGCAAGGCCAAGGAGAAAAACCAAGCCAACTTGACAGAGTCTGACATGGTGGCTGTTGTTACAGAAGCCAACATGGTTGAAGAGAATCCGGCACTATGGTGGTATGACACTGGTGCTACCACACACATCTGCATTGACAGACAGATGTTCAGCACATACCAGAAAAGCAAGGGAGATGATCGTCTGCTGATGGGAAATGTGTCCCACTCCAAGATTGAAGGCACTGGAAAGGTGGTCCTGAAGATGACATCTGGAAGAGAGCTCACACTCAACAATGTGAAGCATGTTCCAGACATGAGGAAGAATCTGATTTCTGGCACTCTGATGAGCAAGCATGGATTCGCCATCAACTTTGAGTCTGACCAGCTGATTCTCAGGAAACATGGTGTTTTTATAGGAAAAGGTTTTGTTAAGGATGGACTGATTAAGATGTGTGTATCTCCAGTCCAAAGAAACAATGTTGTACCTGTTTCCAATGATTTGATTAATAAGAAACCAGTTACTTATTTGGTTGAGTCTTCTAATATTTGGCATGAAAGATTAGGACATGTAAATTATAAGTCCATTGAAAGACTTATGAATTTGAACCTAATTCCGAAAAGCAAAATAAGCAAAGACAAATGTGAGATATGTGTACAAGCAAAACTCACTAAAACACCATCTCCTCATGTCGAAAGAACAACTGAACCTCTGGGACTAATACACACAGATTTGTGCGACTTGAAATATGTACAAACCAGAGGGGGCAAAAAGTATTTTGTGACTTTCATAGATGATTGTACAAGATACTGCTACGTCTACTTGCTGCGTAGCAAAGATGAAGTTTTGGAAAAATTCAAGGAGTACAAGACTGAAGTTGAAAACCAACTGGGCAAAACCATTAAAATGGTTAGAAGTGATAGAGGAGGTGAGTATGATGGACCTTTCAATGCCTTCTGTCAAGAGAAAGGCATCATACATCAGACCACTGCTCCCTATTCACCAGAATCTAACGGAGTTGCAGAAAGAAAGAATCGAACTCTGAAAGAGATGATGAATGCAATGTTGCAGGAATCTGGGCTACCGCAGAATCTGTGGGGGGAAGCTCTGCTAGCCACAAACTATATCCTCAACAAAATACCACACAAAGTAACTGGCAAAACGCCATATGAGTTGTGGAAAGGTTCAGAACCTTCTTACAAATACTTGAAAGTGTGGGGGTGCTTAGCAAAAGTTCAAGTACCGCCTCCTAAGAAGGTTTCGATTGGGCCTAAAACGGTGGACTGTATTTTCATTGGATATGCGCACAACAGTAGTGCTTATCGGTTTCTGGTACACAAATCAGATATAGCCGATATCCATGCAAATACAATAATCGAATCAAGGAATGTGTCATTCTTTGAGAATATCTTTCCATGTAAAGATAGGCAGAAGCTGAAGCGAACTCATGACGCAATTGTGCCTGCGAATGAGGCTAGTACATCTGGTACTTCAGTAAATGAAGCAGAAGAAAATGAAGTTGAACCTAGGCGTAGCAAGAGAGTTCGTAAGGACAAATCATTTGGTGAAGAATACTTAGTGGTATTTCTCTGTGAGAATGAACCAAGGACATATTCTGAAGCCATGTCTACACCAGAAGCAGACTTATGGAAAGAAGCTGTAAACAGTGAAATGGATTCTATTCTGCAGAACCATACTTATATAATCACTGATTTACCTCCAGGGTTTAAAGCTTTAGGATGTAGATGGATCTTCAAAACGAAGATCAAAACTGATGGAGCTATTGATAAGTACAAGGCAAGACTTGTGGTGCAAGGATTCAGACAAGTCGAAGGTCTAGACTTCTTTGACACTTATTCTCCGGTGACGAGAATAACTTCAATCAGAATATTGATAGCTATTGCATCTCTGAGAGACCTGGAAATCCATCAGATGGATGTAAAAACAGCTTTCCTTAATGGTGATTTAGAAGAGGAAATCTATATGAAACAACCTGAAGGTTTCGTGACACCAGGTCAAGAACACAAAGTTTGTAAACTTGTGAAATCGCTGTATGGATTGAAACAAGCTCCGAAGCAATGGCATGAAAAATTTGACCATGTGATGATGTCAAATGGATTCAGTATCAATGAATGTGACAAATGCATCTACGTCAAAAACACTCCCAGCGGGTACGTTTTGCTGTGTCT